GATTGGCCATACACTGAGGAAACCATCAAGTGACATCACTAGGCAGGCCATCGTTCGAGTGGAACCCGAAAGGGAATCGGTGGCGAGTTGGTCGTCAATGCGAGGGTGACTTGGAGGAGGCCATGTGAAGAGGAGATGAAAGCATGTGGGCAGACTTGAAGCGGGGAGAAAACTCTAGCAGAGAACCTAACGCAATGGAGTCGCGCGGCTGAAGCCCTATGTTCCTCTAGGAATTATAGGATATAATAATAATAATAATCCATCACTACTTGTCTTATCCAGCGTAGTTAGTTATCAAACAAAAGTAATCATGAAAACAATTTCCCTCCCTCGCCCTCGTATTCAGTTGAGTAAACAGTATGAAGAAATCAATCATACAGAGGAAGAGAAAAAAACTATTCTCATAGTAAAATTTTGAATAGAAAAATCAGTTAACTAACTAAGTAACTAACTAACTGAAAGACATTATAAAGTTAACCACACAGAAAATGGACGTAATGGAAGGTAAACATTTTGAATAAACATTGAGAAAATCTCAGTTTGTGTTTACCACATTTTAATCAGTTTCATGTAATCAGTGACTAAACAACACAAGGAGGTTTGGTTTTATTGACTTAAGCAAATTTACACAGCAAAAGTAGCAGACTGTAGGCTATTTATTCACTGTCCAATCTATAATGATGCCTTCAAAATAGGACGTATTTTTCTTAGCTGCCATACACATAATCTATACTTCCTGTTTCAAGTGGGCTGATTTTAATAATATTATTATTTCTTTTTTATCTGTAAGGCCACAAGTAAATAATTTATTCAAATGCCTTAGTTTTTGATGGTTAAATTATTGGCTAAAGAAGTCAAGTTTGCATGTCCACTCAGTGCTATCAGCTTTTGCGAAAATGTCAAGTGTATGCAAGTTGTTGAGGGCTTACTCCATATTAGTATGTTTATTAGATGTATCACACAGTGAAACAGTATTATTTACTGGATGACGTTTCGAACAAAATTTATTGCTCATAATCATATCATCAATTATAATCACACGACTTTGAAACTTTAGTTTTATAGTTTTCTTTATCTTCTCCAATTTTTTGTCGTTGGGGTAGTAGAAGTTTCCAGATGTCTGGGTGGACAGGTGTTGAATCATTCCTGTTACACGTGTTGATTTGCATTTGATTCGATAACACAAAGCTTCTGTTATCAATCTCTCCCTATACCCTGTGACATTACGTACTAGAACTGTCACCCTATCCCATTCAATTGTATGGTTGTGTGTGTAGTGTGATATGGCTCAACTATTCTCTAGATTTCTTATCTTATTTGGGCTAACCAATCTAGATTTTGTTAGGTTTTTATGTTCAGCCAGTCTGACTACCCCAGTTCTACTAGTTTGACCTATGTATCTGACCTGACAATCACTCCAGAAGGGTATAAGATAAACTAAATTGTTTTGCTTTAAAGGCTCCACAGGATCCCCTAACCGACAAAGCTTGTTTCTAATTGAGTTTATGGCTTTGAATACCAGTGACTTTTATTCCTGCCTCTTTAAGAATTCTGAGTGAGGTTTCAGAGGTTCCTTCCCTATATGGAATTACTACTGATGATTTAGATTCCTTATTGTTGGTATCCCCATTAATATTATTATGATCACTATTATCATTACTATTGTAACAACAGAAGACAAGGGCCAGGCAACAGATCGTTTTATTATGAAAATCAACACGTATTTATACATATTTCACATACATTATTATAGCTTATGCAAGTAGACAAGCGCAGTCATCTGATTGGTTGTTTATCAGAAGTTAGGCAGACAAATGCAGGCTTCTGATTGGTTGTTTCGGGATTCCTCGACAAATAGAGTTCTCTATCTGCGAATCATATTTTGCCACGTTAACTTTGCTGTGATTGGTTGTTGAATCAGCCTTGCTCATCTTTTCTCACGGCCTGCTCTCACCACACTATAATTATTATTGATTTTATGATTATTATTATTATTATCACTATCACTACTATCGTTATTTATTTTATTTTTACATATCCTCACATATTTCCTGACTAATTTATCCAGGTAGTTATTAAGTTTCAAGGCTTCTTTTATGTGTATCACTTGCTGTCTTAGATATTCCTTGGTACTACTTAGTTTTTGTGCTCTGTCACTTAAACACTTCACCAGTCCTATTTTTACTAACACAGGATGAGATGATCAGAAGTCCGAATATCTGTTTGAATGTGTGGGTTTTCTGTAAACACTAGTGTTTGGCATCCCACCTTCTTTCCTTTTTACGCTGCAATCTAATGTTGAAAGCTCCGCTTTCTGACTTTCCAATTCATAAGTGAATTGGACTGCCTCTACCTTCGAGTTTATGTGTTCGAAAAATCTATCTATATCCTGTGTTCTAAGTAATTTTTTATTTTTTTATTTTTGATTTACAGCTTGATTCCACACTGTATTTTTGGTACAAGTATGGAATTATCAGCATGGATATCGGTAGCCCGAATTTCGCAGGCCGACCATAGATATCAGGTGTGCGTCGGTGCGGGCTCGAACCCCGGACCATGTGCATGGTCGGCAAGAGTCCTAACCACTGTGCCACCGACGCACAATGGTTGTGTCATCTACATACCTACACCGTGCTTTCGGGGTGGGGGTGAACGTTTCAATTGTTATCTTTTCCCACCTATTCATGAATATATCTGCTACAACCGGAGATATTGGTGATCCCATGGCAACTCCCTTAGTTTGTTTGTATATTTTCCCCTGGAATTTAAATACTGTGGAAGTCAGGCAAAGCTGCACTCCCAGCATTATGTCCTCAAGTGGCCATTTTGTCCTAAGTTCGAGTTCTTGGTCAGAAATGAGTTCGTCAAAACTAACCATTTTTTCTTCATTATCTAATTTTAAATTATCTTATCTGTGTTTTAGTTCATAAGATATAGTTAGTCTAGATTTCGAGTGGCTTTTTAGAGAATTTGGATAATATTTGGATAATTCATAAGTAGGTGAATTTCTAAAATCAACTATAGTTCTTATAGGGTATTCTGACCTATAAATTTTAACAACATACATTCTACTTGGGTTATTAGTTTTGGCCAGTGAATTAAACCATTTGGCGTATAAAGTCCGCTGTGGATTTTTTAACTTTATTCATAACTGTGTCTATTGATTTATTAATTTCCCCATATGATCCTGTTTGTATGTGATAATATGATAATATAACTTTTGGTGGGGGCTTACTTGCCTAACTCAAACTTGGCATACGCTTAGCATGGATTTGAAGGTAGAAGAAGAAGATTGATACCATTAAAAGAAAGAATTTCTGGAATCCTGTGTAGGATCATCAACAAGGATGGAATAACAGTAACATTCAAATCCGCGAACTTACTAAGGAATAAACTGCTTTTGGCTAAAGCAGCCTTTGTGGCCCTCTAAACAGAATCATTCACCCTGTATAATACCCCGCAGTAACTATGTGATCAAATACGCACGTTAGAGAAGTCAAAAGGGATAAATTAGCGAAATCGTCAGTAGTAGACATTACCATAGGTAGGAAATGCGGAGAAAAGCTCAGATATAGTACAGTACGAACTAACAAACAATCATAAAACAGCAAACAGCAAGACTGCCGCCTTAAAATCCAATATAACAGGATGAAGGGAGAGACTGATACTATTATTACTCCCGTAGATTGGAGTGGAACACATGGCTTCCTGTTGTCTGCAATCACCTTTGGTTGGCCCCACAAATGTCTATAAGCAATTATCCCCTCATCACACGATCTCTTCCATGCCCTGCTCTTGTTTATCTACGCCCAGCTCGACGTTTCTCATCCAGGGTCCACTCGAGAGCTCGGCGCACGGCATCACTTAGCGGTCTCTTTAGCATGTGTCTAATCCATCTACACTTTCTTCAGCGTATTTGTTGAGCAATATTTCACTAATATACTAGCCTGCCCTTATCGCAGAAAAATGTAGATAGTTGGGCATGGATCTAATGATCCTACACCGGGAAACAAACAGCAAGTTCACTGAGCAGAAGAAGAACAAGAGGTTGATAAGAGGCGACATATTAATCAAATTAATTGTAGATACGTGTAATAAGAATGATTCAACACCTGTCACATACGTCTAGTAAGTTCCACTACCAGTATGACGAACAGGAAAGAAGAGAGAATATAAAAGCCATCTTTTGAAGTTTTACAACTACAATTTATGCTAAGATTATGAACAACAAATTGTGCTTGCAACGCTGCTTTAAAGCCCGAATTGCAAGCACAGCATAGAATCTTCTAATGCAAGCAAGTGTTATCCTTCGACTATTGGTTTTGTAGGCATCAGGATTAACGTCCATAATGACTTCATTAGGAACCGGTATCAATAAGAGATCAGTGAAAAACAGGGAGAACCAGACATCTGTTTCGTCCCCTTGGGCAGTATGCACCCAAGCGTCCAACAAGGAACGAACCCAGGATCCTCTGGTTATGAGACCAGTTCACCAGTCAGCTAATTGGCCAGAAATCCAGTCATCTGTGAATTCTAAATTCTGTCAACTGGCGAAATAACGCCACCTTCAAGCAATGCCTTCAGTAAACACCTAATTCATGTTGATAAATTACTGCAGTAGATGTGTTTATTATAGTGAATCTTTATGCAGTTGCCTTTTTATTCATTCCCTTATTCTCAAGTGGGATATCGAGCTTAAAGACTTTTGAAGTTTCACTAACACTGGTACCGTTTTCATGGAGTGGTGTTGTTAGCTTCATGTCCAACCCTTCCTCCGTCTTTCCCGAACTTATTACCAGTTAATAAACTAGGAAAGATTTATGCGTATTTTAGCCGGGAATCGAACATGGACTTCCCGCCTGGCTGGAGAGCATTCTACGGTTGAACCGCTGACTCACACACACACGTGATTATGTAGGCAAATTTATTTTAATGCCAATAAATGTTATTAACATCACATATTTATGGAAAAAAGAACAGATTAAATTCAGATCACTTACTTTAAATGTTCCAGTACATGACGAAATGCATCAGGTAGTTGATTGATTGGAGGAAACACATACCTGAAACAGAGATTGCAAAACAATCATGAAATTTATGTGAATTTTATAGCAAACAATATTTGAAGCATAATAATATTTGCAAATAGAGATATTTTCAAAATGCCGCATTCTATTTTGTCCTTCATTATTCTGAAGTAGGTTTAGAAATCTTCTGCACATAGCATAAAGAGCAACTTTTAGGATTTTCAACAGAAATGTAAAGTCAGTTCTTCTGTATGAGTCAGACAGTCATGAAGAGCATTTTTCAAAAAAGATTGCAGACTTTTATCGACAAGTGACTCCGCTTGACAGTGAAGATCCAATGGCCAGAAAGAATTAGTAACAAGAAAGTCAGGTTAGCAAAGAACTAACGAAAACTCCACCATGGATAAGATTTTATTTTGATAAATCATACAGTGTGTTATACATTATTATTAACTAATGACCACGTTACGAACACAAACTATTGCTCACACAACTCTTTTCCTTCATTTATATACATGTGTGGAATCGATTAGATATTGAAAATAAAATCAATATGAGATAATATACATTCAGAAATAATAATAATAATATGAGTGTTATTAATCAATTACAATCAGATGGGAAATAAGACGAGTGTGCTTATATTCGAAAATAATAAAAAGCTAACTGACTATTGTTCCATTCCATCTTATACTTGTTCCACAATACACTTTCTGATATGATTCTAAATTGCCTTTACTGGTTATTGTATGCTTAAATTAATGGATTTATAATTGTAGAGCCTGAAGAAGAATTTATTGAAAACAATTGTACGCTCTAAATCAAACGAACGAGTTAGTCTAGAGTTTGAACGATTTCTAATGGGGCATTATATTAGAGCTGAGTGTTTCGATAATTCATAAGCAGGGGTATTTCTGAAATCTACTATTTGTTTTATGCAGTAACCTAGCTCATGTATTTCAATAGTACCATACATTCTACTAGAATTATTAGTTTTAGGCATTAAATCAAACCATTTAGACTCATCCAGTGACGGCTTCATTCTGCGTATTAATTCCGCTGTAGATTTCTTAACCTTATTCATTATTGTGTCTACAGGCTTCTTAATGTCTTTATAAAAACCCATCTTAATATGTTCGGTAACTTTCTTCATTTCCTGTTTTAGACTAATTAGAGCTAGTCTTTCTGATGTTGTTAAGTTTGATTTTGCCTTCTTTTGATTTTTCAGGGTTAATGCACATTGTGCTCGAACCTCTTCTGCTGTCGTCTTATCTATTAAACCTAATGCTACTTCTTTGTTAGGAATGACATCCTCTGGTTTTAATTTACTAACTGTTACATTGAAATTTAGTCCCTTCTGAAGTACTTTTATCCCACCAGAGCGTAGTTCCCTTAATGAGAGGTTGATCACGCATTTTTTTTATCTGTCAACAGAGGATGAAACTTTGACATCGATTCCATTTATTCTGTTCTTTCCTTTCATTAGATAAAGAAACTCATCTTGACTATATATAAATATAGTCAACAGAAAATACACATCACAACATTCTAACAAGTTGTTCAATTTGACTATAAAAAGAACACTCGTCTTATTTCCCATCTGATTGTAATTGATTAATAACACTCATATTATTATTATTATTTCTGAATGTATATTATCTCATATTGATTTTATTTTCAATATCTAATCGATTCCACACATGTATATAAATGAAGGAAAAGAGTTGTGTGAGCAATAGTTTGTGTTCGTAACGTGGTCATTAGTTAATAATAATGTATAACACACTGTATGATTTATCAAAATAAAATCTTATCCATAATGGAGTTATGCTCTACCCCAATGCCCAAGTTTTATACTTATATCAAAATAACGAAGAACCTAACGCAAAGAAATACTTAGCAGAAAATGGAGATGAATTGGGATACACGCTGAGGAGACAGTCGAATGTAATCACATGCCAGACCCTTGAGCTGAACCTGAGTAGGAAGCAACGAATAGGTCGTCCGAAGATGAAACGGAGGGGATCGTGAGAGGAGGAGATTAGAGATTATTATTTATTGTACACTTTTTGGTTACTTGTATAAATTCGAGATATTGTACATAATTTTTGTTTAAAACGCTTCTTGTTGAAATATACATAACTTCCGTGTACAATTGAAAAATACACTCTGCTGTTGGAGACTTCGTCTTCTCCCTGGTCACTTCTGCTTACTTGATCCACTCACACCGTGTTGTATACTTCGGATTTATTGTAGGAGCCTACTACTCTCAACCGAAGACATTTCTACAACCGGAACACAGCAGCTACAGCAGACGCAGTCCAAACAATTAACGTGCCTGTGGATTATATAATTAATTTGTAGCCGAGGACTTACACTTTATAACCAAGTAATCCTTTTTGTTGCTATAACTCGTCACTGTATTTTTGGTAATATATTGTGATTTAACACTCCACTGACTTGGATTATTACTTTTATACTTGGAATGTTAGTGAACGGTGAGCGCAGATGCAGTGAACAGCAGTAAAAAGATGTGTTTTTGAAGTCCTCTATTCCACTCGGAACCCAAGGGAATAATAATAATAATAATTCAACGCTGTGACTGGTTGAACAAACCTGTTTAACTGGCACAACAAAAGTGCAGTATTGTGTACCTTATTAACTCAGCCGTCTAAATGGAAAGACTTTCCGAAACTCTATAAAGACGATGTATACCTCAAGTGGGTGTTTTTGATTTTGTCTTCTCTAAGCTGAGTGACTTAATTGCACAGCATGCGTTGACTTTCTAGACAATATCTTCAATGCTTACTTTAGGCTTTAACAATTATTTTAAGCAATTGGTGATGACTGAATGAAAAACTGGGTGAACGTTGGACACAACGCAGCACTTTATATATTACTATCCAAACTCTAAACCAGCAGAGGTGAAAAGCTCTAATGCAATGTAAGAAAAACTTGACTAATGCCTAGATCATATATTTTAGATATTAGACTGGATAGGCAGTAATACATAGGCCGCTAATATGAACTTAGCCGTGACTCAGAGTTTAGTCTAACATTTAATCGTCGTCCAGCGTCAGTCAGATCCAGCACTGTTTCAGATGGTCACAACAACATTTTAGTTATTAAAAGATAAAGTGATGACAAGGTTGAGTGGTTGTCTTGAGATGGCATATGTTGAGAAAAAGATTAAAACAGCTCGCCTTGTAACCAGAAGGTCCTGGGTTCGGACCCCAGTGGGTGCGCACTGATAAAGAATCCCAAACTAGTATGAAACAGCTGTCCAGTACTCCCAGGTTTTCCAATGGTTCTCTAACCAATGTCAGCTCATGATGAAATCCTGTGACCAAAAAACGCATTGAGCCTACCACCTGTTATATGAACTCAGTGATGCTCCTTAGAAACCATTAAAATATACAAACAATTTTTATGAAATAATTATTTGTGCCTCAGCAAAAAACGTAGAAACTGTGGATGACCCCCAGCGCTTCATGTCTTAATAAAGGTGTCCTTCAAGCAAAGTGCAGGATCTTTGAGTACTAGGCGCTAGTCAATAGAATGCCACGGATGCAGGTTTGCAGATAAACATACTAAATGATCTATAGACTGAAAGCTTTAAGCAAAGAATCCAAAGGAAGGGAAAATAATTTCACTATATATTTAAATATTAGTAAAAATCTATCATAAATATTCCAGATTGCTCGAAAACACTGTTTATTCATATTTTTTGCTTTTTCATTTGTCGCATAAACCTCACTATGGGTAAATAAGCTCGCTGCATGGAAACATCAGTATTATCAGGATCACTAACTCGATGTGACTTGTTTTACGGTGGAGCTCAGTAGAAATGGCTCTTGTGTTCAACATGACAGAGGCTGAGTTTTAATAGTTATCAGGAAAGCCAAAATTTAACAATGAGCAAGTGCACCCAGCTGATGACTTATGATATACATGCAGGTTGTTATTCTCATTCATTTTGGAATGTTTCACCAACAAACTAATATGAAGGATAAATATTTATCGGAATAATTGTGAATTTCCCATTTATTCTTTTTAAGGGACCGAAACTCTCCGTCTCTGCCACTTGTTGGCTCCCAGATCAAATGCATCCAAGGTAACACGATGTTGTCCACAGTGAATTCCAGAAGGAGTGTTTCATCCTGCTTGGAACTCGCCAGGCGGATCAAACGTGCCCTCTCGGTTCCGGTGTCATAATTATTCCTCTAGGTTTCGAGTGGATGACCTCTGTCTTCAACACCACATCTCCATATCGCCCTGTCCTCGGCAGCCATTTTACATGGATTCACTGTTATCCATGAGCTTTCATCTCCTCTTCACGCGACCTGGTCCGTGTTATCCTTTCACTGTTATCCAACTTGTTGTTTCTCATTTGTGTTCCACTGGTGTGATGGACTGTCCAGTGTAAGATGTCATTCAGCGGTCTGCCATCACGTTTTCTATCTATCTTCACTTTCGTCGGCACAGTTTTTGGGAAGTAGGCAGATGGTTGGTCTGTCACACTGCATAGTTTCATGTTGCCAGCACTTTATGGCCATCTGGTCTTCACTACCAGGCTAAGTTAGCTGCTGATAATAGCCTGCAGTAGACCAGTGGAAGTCCTTTCGATGATGCGCCAAGTGTCTGATTTGGCTTTAGTTTAGAAAAAACGGGTCTTGTTCTGTGTGGTGAGTGCAGCTGATTTCCGCATAAATTTTAAAGTAGGGAAGGACTATCTTTTCCCTTCAGTCTTGCCCTCTACCTCAACTTTATAGACTTTCAAAAGGCATTCGACAGCGTCAACCACGAAGTAATTTGGAAACTACTTGAGTACTACGGCGTACCTCAAATATTCACCAACATTATTCAACAGCTGTACGACAACGGAACATGTCAAGTCATCCACAACGGAAAACCCACTCAGCGAGGCGTTAAGAGTATACACAGGAGTCAGACAAGGGTGCTGGCTTATTATCACCCACCAATGATATTCCTAATTGTGGTGCACGACTGGATTATGCGTCAGAGAGTGAGTGGGA